TTTTTTTTTTTTTTTGCCAGTGAGCAGGGGCTCTTATTTATTGAGATTAAATTTCCCCTACATTCTCAAATAAGCCAAGCAAATTCACATACAAAAATACATTTTAATTTTATAGAAAAACACGTGAAAAAGAGTAAGATGCCAAGAAATAGCTGTCTTTAAATTTTATTTCTCTATTTCACAACTCCATATATTTAAATGCAATGTTCTTTCACATTTCCAAGAAAATTCCTATTGCAATGAAATTCCAATTCCACCTTGTTCCAAGCAAAAAAAAAAAAAAAAATGAAATGGAAGGTTGCCCATTTGTTTTGCAAAATAGCAATCTTTTACTTTATTTTTTTTAATAGCCAGTCAAATTTAGCAGTGAGGGGTTGAATACCAACTGTAGTGCCACTAATGTTAATAAGTTCTAATAACCCACTACTATCGGACCAGCCAAACTCTTACTTTTGATAAGCAAAATTACATGTGTGCTCAATATCATTCAACAACTTCAATGCTGAAGCTAATTAAATCTTCTATGAAAAAGAACAAAATTGGAAAAATTCCAAAAGGAAAACAAAGATCAATTTCTAAGTCACCCAAATGTAACAGAACAAAAAGGTTATGCACTGGTGGTTTCCCCAAGCTACTTAGACCCTCTACTACTTAAAACACTGACTGCTCTCTTCAAACAGGGAGCAAAGAAAGGATTCATTTCTCCTGGGGCAGGAGGAGCTGCTGGAAGGGGACCTGGATGTGCACTGGCCCTGCGCCCCTATCAGCCCTGGCTGCGACTCCTGCTCACACCTCCTCTTCCTCATCACTCACAGACTCTTCATACAGGAATGGGAAGGATCTGGGGCCGCTCCAATTGACCTTGAGCACATACTCCAGGACTTTTACCTTGCTGGCTTCAGCATGGGCCCTCGGACCCCACAGGAACTCATAATATGCAGGATCGCTGTTAGGCACCTGCCGGTACTCCAGGTACCCTTCCTGCACCCAATCCTGGGTGATGAGCTTCCGGGGCTCCCCGTAGATGTAATGCTCACTCCCAGCATGCACCCCCATCCCACCCAGGGCATCCCAGATGACCTCCTCCCGGGCGCAGTCGCCCTCGAAGAGGATCAAGCCCAGCATGATGATCAGGAGGCCGGCCTTGGGAAAGCTCTGGTCATCATTCAGCTCCTCATAGTAGGTGAGGCCCAGGGTGGTGACGAGAACATAGGAGTGGCCGGCAGGATCCACTTCCTTCACATCGATGCCAAAGACCATCTGCATGCACTCGGAAGCTTCACTGAGGATCACAGGGAAGTGGTCTTGGTAATCTTTGATGACAATATCCAGCATTTCTGCCTTGGTGATCGGCTCCTTGAAGCGATACTTGAGGAGCAGGAAATGAACCAAATCACACATCTCATTTTCTAGTGCCTCCTGCAGGACAGATGACGGGTCTTCCGGATCCTCCGAGGAGCTTGGCCACTCCTCTTCTTCGCTGTTGGAGCTTGGCCACTCCTCTTCTTCGCTGCTGTAGCTTGGCCACACCTCTTCTTCGCTGCTGGATCCCTCATTGGAGCGGTGCTCTGGAGTGAAGGCCAGGCTACTGGAGGAGGACGAGGCTCCCTGAGGACTCCCCGGAGGACTCTGTGGTGCAGCAGGAGCAGCCTCCTCCAGGGTGCCCAGGGTCACAGTAGAGGAGGAGGGAGCCGCCCCCTCCTCCTGAGCCCTGGGAGCCTGTGAACCCACCAGGCCCTGAGCCTCTCTTTGGGCCTGAAGGCCTTCTTCGAGTCTGCTACACTGATTTCTTTGATGGTCGTGGCGGTGAGGCATCATGGCTCTGGTCAGGTACAGCAGGCAGGAGTGTGGGCAGGAGATGGGTGATGGAAACACACAGGCCTTGACTCCTAACAAAGCTGGGCCCTCTCGCCTCCGCCGACCTGAAATCCAGATCTCAGACCAAAGGCCTCGCCTCTGTCAGCCCCCTGGGCGGAACTCCGGTTTGCTAGTATTTTGTTGAGGATTTTTGCATCTATGTTCATCAGAGATATTGGTCTATAGTTTTATTTTTTTGTTGTATCTTTGGTTTTGGTATCACGGTGATACGGGGCCTCATAGAACAAGTTTGGGAGTATTCCCTTCTCCTTGATTTTTTGGAATAGTTTAAGTAGGATTGATATTATTAATATTCCTTCTTTGGATGTTTGGTAGAATTCAGCAGTGAGGTCATTGATTGGGTCCTGGGCATTTTTTTTTGAGGGGAAACTTTTTATTACTCATTACTTGTTATTGGTTTATTCAGGTTTTGTATTTCTTAATGGTTCAATCTTGGTAGGTTGTATGTGTCTAGGAATTTAGCCATTTCTTCTAGGTTTTCCAATTTATTCGCATATAGTTGCTCATAGTAGTCTCTAATGATCCTTTGAATTTCTGCAGTATCAGTTGTAATGTCTCCTATTTTCATCTCTGATTTTATTTATTTGGGTCTTCTTTTTTTCTTAGTCTGGCTAAAGTTGTGTCAATTTTGTTTATTTTGTCAAAAAACCAACTTTTTGTTTTGTTGATCTTTTGTATTTTTTTAAATTTCAATTTCATTTATTTCTTGTCTGATCTTTACTATTTCTTTTCTTCTACTAATTTTGGCTTTGGTTTGCTCTTGTTTTCCTAGTTCTTTGAGATGCATCATTAGGTTGTTTATTTGAAACTTTTCTACTTTTTTGATGTAGGCACTTATTGCTATAAATTTTCCTCTTATTACTGCTTTTACTGTATTCCACAGGTTTTGATATTTTGTGTTTCCATTTTCATTTCTTTCAAGACATTTTTTTTTTTTTTTTGAGACAGAGTCTCACTATGTTGCCCGGGCTAGACTGCCGTGGTGTCATCTTAGCTCACAGCAACCTCAAACTCCTGGGCTCAAGCGATCCTCCTGCCTCAGCCTCCCGAGTAGCTGGGACTACAGGCAT